GCTAGTCTGGTTTTTCTGCTGCTATTTCGGTTTGCCTCCTCCACAAGTTCAAATCCGTATCCGGTGTTCGGGTCGCCTTATTTATTACCAACATGCCCCATAACAACCTATGCTCTGCACCTGACTTCCCTACAACAGTTCAACCAGTGAATCTGCTTAGTTTCAGAATAAGCCATATTTTTGAGACGAAACTCGACGTGAGCTCCCACTTTGAATTATTCCACCTCCATTTCCAGTTTTGCTCGTTGTGACCCAGGCCATTTACTTAACCGCCTAAGGTCAATCATGGCCAGCAACGGTTTCTAGCTCCAGCTCATGACAGCTGGCTATGTCTTTGATCTGGTCGGACCTCATGCCCATTGTTCCCAACAAGTTGGGAAAGAGACCTATTATTACTATTTCATCGGATATTTCCCACTGTTTATGACATTGTCCTCTTTTTGAGCAACCCGCACCCCCACAAACCCCCCGTCATGTTTCATTCTGACTGTGAACCTATGGTCATGCCAGTCGGCATGCCACCCACAGGTTGGGGATAAACATTATTATTATTCAGAAAATCTGAAAAAGAGGACAGCGTGGATATGAAACAAGCGTCTATTTCACACTTTGGAATATACAGACTAAAATGTTTTGTCGGCAATTAAACATGTTGGTTTCCAGATGAGTCTCGCGAGAATCCAAATTGGTTTGCAAATGAGTGTACATTTGCTAATGTTGGGACAGATTTTCGAGTAACGGTTAATATAGAGGAGTCGAGATTTAGGGTGAAAATCAGCAGTGTACGCTCGTCAGCAAAACGGTTGAGGTAGATGTCCCAATGAGCCATAAATATTTTGGCTCAAGCGACAAACGGCAAAGGTGTTATGATAGTATAGACAACGCCATAGGTAAGAGTTCAGCATACTCAACACAAGCCCGGACCGGCATTTGGGCAGGCCAGGGCCACTCGTATGAGTGAAGTACACGGCCGAAACATTCCCTAAAGAAAGAACATAAACAAACGACCATTTGGCGCTAAGAAAACAGCAGCGACCAATTCTATTGACAGCGTCTTCCCTTTAGGTTGTACAAAGTACTCCTCACCGACGTACATGTGTCACGCAGACATATGTGCTCTTGACCAAAATGTTTAAGGAAGCCATCACCGCTATATTACTCATAGAAATGCTGAGAAGCCGGTTTTAGAGGTGTTACAGTTGTGCAAAGAAAGCTAAGTCACCAAAACTCCCGCAGAACTCTTTAGAACTGTAATAATGCGATCCGTTATTGCAGCCGAGAGCGAAAGGTGGATGAAGTTTCTGCCATCCGAATCTCTATTAAAATGGATGAAGCGGTACCTTATCCAAGGCCGCTTGTATGAAAAACCAATGTCTATTATTTCATATGGAGCAATGGCTGGTATGTTGGTTCAGCTGTTCTGTGGGAGGATTTTCGGACGCCTTCATTGCAAGTAGGCCCTTCGTTTCCAAACGGAAATGGAATAAAACTAAAGCAATTGAAGCAACAGATATTTTGATAGATAGGTAAGCGAATTTAGACGACCATTTCGCTGGTATTCCTGGAGGATGGCCGTGCAAAAAGGGAGAGATCCACTGATATTGGAGCAACCAAATATCTGCCATATTATACAGGATGAATGAAGTCGGGATCTTACTTGTATGGTATGCCGGTGGATGACGTTTAGAATACGTTAGAACACAAAACAGATGATATGTTCTAGTTGCCGGCGGATAAAGTTTAGGAACGTCATCGCTGAGTGAGCGTTGCTGTAGAATAGCTGTGTCGCTGCGTCAAATTTGTCAGTCGCTAGCACGGAGCAACGCTGAGTGCCTGGGGGTCGACCTAGAAACAGGGCCTGACGAAAATAGGACAGAGGATAATCAGAACACAATAAATTCCATTCTACAGACACCACAGTTTTATGCGATTTTTTATATTTGATTGGGTTTGTGGCCACTGCCAAGATGCTGTCCGTGCGCAACTTCGGTTAGCTCATTCAAACAACGTTTGCCAAATTATTTCAGACGGATATCTGGTTTGAATGCATTAACCTCTTTGTGAAAGAACGCCAACGGAAGAACTCTGATTTGGCTTCATCACACAGCTGCTGTTGCATGAGGTGAACCATTGGATATATGCGTCCCAGGTCGTAGGTAGTCCCGGAGTTAGGGAATAAATGGACATGACTGACAAAGCGCAGCGTAACGAAGCAAGTAAACCAGTCCGTTGACTGGCACAAGAAAACATTACATACAAAAGGTACAAAACTCGAATGCCATTGGCAGATGGGCAGGGTTGGGTCTAGCTGTGGCTGAGTGGATCTCCAGTTGTGCGTATCCGAAATCCGGATGGTCTTTCCAGATTTCTTGAGTCTCCATGTGTACCGAGGCCGCTGACCAGCCAAGAAATTTAGTCCGATCACTTGGGATACCTTCTACCTGATTGGTTAGGCGGCTGGCTAATAATATGCTTTGCTAATTGTCCATAGAGGCGATTGATATTCACTGAGACTGCACCGGATGGAAAAAAAATACCCAGACAAGAGGACCGAATTTTCTTAATGTAAACCAGCTAGAAAAAGACTAACCGTGGATATCAGGTATCATCTTTGCACTTGTATGACAATTTTTCCGGCGTACAAGGTCTTCCTCTATACGCGGCGGACCACCCAACACGTTAGCCGCAACTCCTTAGATCACGAGAAATTGAAAAAAGGAAAGCACGGTTGTGGCATGCATTCTTGCTGATTACTTGATGTGAACGTTGATGGCAAATTTTCCTTCCTCGGCCTGATCGTCCATTTAAATTAAGAGGGCGTAGTCTCGCCTACGTTCCCGCTGTTTGCTTAAACAAGCATGAACGGATGGTAGCATGGCTGAAGGGGAGCTTATAATTGACCATTTTGAACGTAGCATAGAATTATAACGGAGTTGTATTTGAGAAAATTACATTAATAGCAGATCTGCTGGTGTACTTATGCAGTTAGTATGCAATTCTCAGCAGTTTAATATAACTTGTTTTCCATTAATGTAATCGTCTATGTTGCACTTAAATTTAACTGTATCTCAAATGGTCAGTGATCTTTGTGTGTAAACTCGCCCGTAAAAAGTGAGCAATTAGAATAACCCAAAGGTGGTAGTTAGTGCTATTGTGTTTGCTATTTTTGCTCAGCGTCAATTGGTGGTTAGGAAACAGTTCATCGGAGGATGGACACGATTTGCATACCTGTGATTATATGCGTTATTCAAAGTGCAGACTTGGAAGGCCTTGCAACATGCGAATCGTGTTTATCAGGTGCAGGAACCCGCATTTTCATTGACCAACCTAAATCCGACTTGTAATCGCAGAACTATTGGCGCGTTCTTCGCAGCCGACGGATCAATGATAATATCTGCTATTATTTTCTATCCCTAATAGTCCATCATTTACCGCAAGGCCCTCTCTGGACATAAAGAGAGATCTGCCAGCTTCTTGAAAACCCGATGAACAAACAGCAGTCGTTGACGAATGTAACAAACAGTGCCTGCTACTTTAGGTCATTTATGTCACGAATGTTGAATTGCATCTTCGCTAGCTCACTTTCACTCCAGGGTACTTTCCAGTTTTCAGCCACACAGATAGCCGTGACCGCTTACCCTCAGAGAATCACCGTCCCCTCTTGCGCTCATGGTGTGCTTGTTTTGCTTTTGACGACTACGTAAGGATGGTTTCGACACATTAGTGTCTACATACCTTATGAGTAACATACCGTATAATCCCACACGGCCAACGGATCCTCTTGTGACAAACTTCACCCGTCAAACAGACCCACGAACTGCAACACTGACACGGGCAGCTTCATGTAGATCCTGATATACCCGGGACGTTGCGTTGCCAAAAGGGGCCAGCGTTGCGTTCCTGCTTATTGGGCCGAATGTCCGTGCAGTCTTTATGATGTATAGAGATTATAGTCAGTGTCTACGTAGCACCTTCATCCTAAACACTTCCGACTACAGCTCGGATTGGATAAATTCCATTTTTGATGAGTGTGTAGCGAAGTTTCGCTTCCCGAGTAACGAGCTTGACTGAAGTACCCCAGAAGCGTTGTCATTCCCTTACTCTTATGTTGCCCGCGGGGTTCTTAACATATTCTGCGTCAACCACTTCTAAAGGCGATTGTATGTTGACCTGGAAGCACTACTTATCTGGATCACTCCAAAGGTGTACACAAAACCGGCGAATCACGCCTCCCCCTTCTCGCCTACGCAAGCTCATCTTCGACGCAAAGCCTGGACGCCTTGGTTTCCGTAACGCATGCGTTGTCGAAAATATGAAGCCATTTATTCGGAAAACAATCCCATTGTGACCGAATCCAAGCGAACTACAGAGTCGTCAAAAGTGCTTCTGTCTATTGTCGATGAACTGTCTGTGAGCATAACTTGTGCTCGTTCCACGTTGGAATTCTCGCAGTTTGGACTCCTATTCCTGAAAGGAACCACTCTCACGCCCATAAAAGTATTTGCGCATCTGCCTGGCTATGTTACGTTTATCCAAGAATACACTCTTTGAACCTACAAAACCTGCTTCCTTGATAGCAACCCGCTGTAAGACGTACTTGACTTCCGAGTAACAAGCGCCGGTCTTACCGTAGTTGATACTTTACCAGTCGAGTTAAGCATGACCTCGTAGAAACCCTGACCTCACGCAGAACAATCAAGAAATGATTGTTCGTAGCTTCGTCCTTGCTTTTATACAATCCTAACATGGGACCCATATGGCCTTGAGATACTGGCCGTCCTGTACTAACTGGGCAAGATGGTAACTTTGCGGATGTACCTAAAATAATGGAGGACGTTGTATGTTCCCACTTGTTCTTCAGGGAATTAGAGGAACGGGGCTTCACAGTGAGCACGACTTTTTGATGCTACAAGAATCAGCTTGTGAATAAGTACAACGAAATTTCTGCGTGAACTGTCGTTGTTTAAACGGACAACATAGAACGCTGTCGTCATAGCACTCACAAGATGAATTATGAAGACTGTCCCAGAAGACATGAAGTTGAATCGTACTTAAGAGAGCACAAGATCCCTGAGTTATTCCAAAATTTGACTTCCCTTTTGATATATCACAGACCAGGTTAGTTGACGTGTACAGGGGCGTTGTCCACTATCACTTAAGTGACTGATTGTAATTTTAAAATGTGCAAGATTAATCTGGCACCTTTTCAAACTCAGCAACTAACTAAGGTATGATAAGATTTTAGCTCAAATAGGGTCTTTTTAAACCTCTGATTCCTCTTCTTTTGTCCATTTGAACATGAATCTGCCAATAATATGACACTGCACTACTAACTTTGGCAGTGTTTATTAGCTTAGTGAAGACCACGAATCACTGTACAATTTCAGACAGTACCACCATGCAGACCACACAGAACTATTGCAGGGTCACTGTACGTCAATTAGGTGGATGCCCACGCAATAATGTAGTTTATTTAATAATAATTTGCGTTCACATTCCTTGAGAAATGTCAAAAAATTGCTTGGAAAGATACGCTTTTCCGCTACCGGAGTATTCTGTTACACTAGGCTGTGAACTTGATGTGGGGAGAACATCCTGTTGAAAAATTTTGATGATACTGCCACCGTGACAAATCTACCCCTTTTTAGAAACTGTCATAGATGCCATCGTCGGCGTCGACGTTAGAAAATGACGGCAATGTCATCCTTACGAGGCCGATACGTTGAGAAATCGCGTCGATTTGGACGTCGTCTGAAATCTTGAAGGGCTAGTGATGGTTGGCAAATGTTGTCAACGTCAAAATAAAATTCAATTTGAATGCTTTATGTTTCATTCCTCAAACTACTCGTAAATAACTACTCCGGCAATATGCTGGTACTCTATAATAGGCGCTATCCAAATGTTGCAGTATGAAAAGTAGTTCCTGGATGATGTACACTCCAATTCAAAAAAGCAGCGCCCTCCACCATTGCTGGTTTGCTCACCCTTCATAGGGCCAGTTGCGCACTGTATGATGTTTTGCAAGTCCTGCAGCCTGATCTGGTAATCAGCGTGCTACAGTTACCTAACTTTCTCAACGGTGCCGTGACAACTGGCCCTGTAAAATCCCCGTAGAGCATCGAAAAATATCGGTAGTTTCTCTTTGAATCACTGACCTAGTCCTGCGCATGAGCATTTGTTGTGAAGAGGTCGAATTATGTTAGACTTAGGTGGGCCGGTTACAATCCGGGGAACTGAAGACATTTAATGCGTTCTAATTAAAACTTTACTAGATATGTTCATCAAGAATCCGTACTGCAAGAAGTGCGCAAGCTGCAGGGAGAGGCGTTCAAAGTTCCGGAGCGTTTAACGTATCTTGGAAATTGTAGTCTTTCTGATCGTAGTATGACAGATGAAGTCAACACACGAATCTCCAAGGCCAGGGTCACGTTTTTCAATTTGAGACATCTGTGGCGTCAAATCGGTATATCCATGGATCACATTGGACGTGTTTATAGAGCTATAGTGAGGGCTGTATTGTTGTATGGCGGTGAAATTTGGTCAGCGTAACTACGGCGTCCTCTGGTGTCCAACAATCGTTGCCTCAGGGCCATAGTTGTGTGAACTGATGTTAGAAAATCCGAAATAAAGCAGTTAGGAAGCAAGTTCTCAACCGTGCAACGGAAACATTCATTAAAGCATGTATTTAACGCCAGAAGCTGTGTCAGCTGGATTATGCGCTGTGTATGCCAAACTACCTTTTGCCGAATATATTGTTGCTTTTTGCCCAACTTAGAGTGCAGAAAGTAGAAAGTTGACCAAACCTTCACCTGTACACTGATGGTGCTACTAGGTTTTCTGGACGAGGATCGCGTGATCCCTATTGCGCCTGGTTGGAGATCCTGCAAGACTTAGCTGTTAATCGGTGTTAATGGCGTTTCAGTTGTCATTTTCAATCTGGGTTGCCTAAATGGGAATCTGGATGTGTAAGAACCTTGGAACAATTGTAGTGAGCTAACCCTTGGTCCCTAATCCGCTCAGTTTTGTGCTTTCTTCACAGCAAGGCTCACAAATTAATCATGGCTGTATGTCAGAAGAGCACCGACTTTGAACACTGATGTAATGCTGTCGATGAAAACGATGACGAAGATAATGCTGCTGCTGCTTCTGCTGCTGCTGCTGCTGCTGCTGATGATGATGATGATGATGATGATGATGATGATGATGATGATGATGATGATGATATCTCTACAGATGTCAGCAGAACTTTTGAGATATACAGGACTAATAGTAAAGGCTTGCCTTGACAACAAATGAGTCAATCTCCTGGGAAGATACCGCTGAAAACTATTGTAGGCATACTTTGTAGAGAGCCAGACAAAACTATCAAAAGCTCTTGACAAAATCCTTGAAAACTGCGTTTAAGGAAATACAAGCCTTCACAGCTCGGCAGTGACATTTGAAAATGTTTCCGGCCCCTAAGATTCCATACTTACAGATTAGCAAGCACGCGCCAACTCTTTTACGGAATACTTAACAAAAATCCACGGGCATGTTAGGAACAACAAAAAGAAACAGTACAACCCTGGTACGAAATAACTGCCTACAAAATGCTCTGTACCAACTGCTTCTACTCAAACTGGGCGCCATAAGATGTGGTGTACCTGAAATGCTGCGTGTAATTTTGTTGAAAAAATTCCTTATGCCTAGACACTGTTGCCGATGTACCTGAGTATGTTCTTTTAGTATAACCAGGACACTGAACTGTTGTCAAGAACGTCAAATCTGTGGTACTGAAGGATAACAGACTCATTCGTATAAAGTCGGTGACCACTTAAATGGAGGATCTTGGATACTCGCCTTTACTTCTGCGGCCCACTTAAGTAAGCTCTTAGAATGATTCTTTTGTAACCAATCCGGTATATTAAACCTACTACGGGTATGGCAACCTTTACTCTGTGCTACGACGGAAAAAACCCGTGATGCATGTGATAAACTCAGCACACTGTTTGTCTAGTTTAGTTTAGTTTTTTGCATACAATGAACAATTACCAAGGGTACACCGGTATCTTCTGCTACAGTTTTACTCACTCATATATTCTAATGGCAAATTATTAACCACTCAGCTTTTACGTCATTTTGGTGCCTATCTGTCTTGTCACCCGAAGGAGGCACGGGGGCTTCGACACTGCCTGGTTGATCAAGTCTTGACAGGAGCTGTCAAGAGGAAAAGTTCGGACTGGAACCGCAGACCTTCTTGCATTACGGGCATGTCTTTAAAACCGAGCCTTAATGGTAGCTTGCAACAGCTCGACAAACATCATGGTGTATTCAGGTAGGACTAAAGTTGATCGTATAAGGAAATAGAATGCCCCATTGGTATTTGACTATAAAGACGAGACATTTGAGCTTACCCGATAAGTCTTAGCTACACACGAGGAAAACTATATTTCTACACTTCACAGGGAGACGACGTGTTGCCATCAAACTGTAACCTGAATAAGCGCAACTAAAGAGTGGGAGATTTTTCTTGAAATCCACAAAATCTTTTTGGATAGTATTTAGCTTTAAAAGCATTCAACGGAACTCCAGTTATTTAAACAGCATTAACATGACAGCGGGTAAATTAGCCCTGTTCAGTTGGTGATTTTAGCAGGCGCACATTAAGCAAGCATGGCCAATAGATGATGTCCCTTCAGTTTTACCGTTCTATGTATTCGAATCTGATTCGGATTCTGACGAGCACTCATTTAGCCGGTAGTCCTGTTGAAACGGTAGAATTTGAGTATAGTTGAAGAAACTTCCGTCCTAAATTGAAACTTCAAACGTTTTCACTACTTTTTAAAGTTAAGTAGCTAATGTACGATGGTAAAGCGAATAATTTTGGGTACCTTCCACATAGTTGAAAAAAGGATTACGCTGAGTGACCTAGACGACAGGGCTCGTTGATAAAGATATGGACGGATGCCTCGAGCACAACCGGGGAGACACTTCTTGCGAGCACTACGACGTGCATAATTCCTATGGTACAAATATGACTTACTGGATAGTGTGATCTGTTTACCTACTGCTATTGGATCAAATGCACTGAGCACCGCTCCAGTGGGAGATCATAGTGGTTCGACTGTCCTTCCTGATAGCCAATTTTCTAGCCAGTCTTGTTTCTCCCCAAGTTTTACAAGACATGGGAGTGGAACCTTTAGGAGTTTCAGGTAAATGATGAGATAATCTTTTGCGTATGTCACACTAAAAATAAGTGAGCCGAAGTAACTATACTTATCAGACATCACGTGGTAAATACAGTGTAAGGACAAAAACACAGAACAGTTGACAGCTTGCACACAAAATTACTTATTCACACATCCAGATCCAACAGCACTGACGTGGCGAGCGATGTATGTTTTGTCTCATATTCGCCAGTAATGACAAGACACTTGTTTAGGGTCAGGAAGATTTGCGTGTCGGAAGTGCATCTCAGGTATGCTTTTCAAAGAAGGACTATTCTGCATCCTTTCTCTATATATTGACTGTTTTCTTGAGTATCTCAGAGATTTTTCTTTTCACCTTTTATAGAATCAAGCGGTTTCCCGCGTTCACACTTTCATTCCAGGCTCCATACACTCAACAGCTGTATCTTTTTGGAATAGCGTGAACCTCAACATCAGACTAGAATCGTTACACATGCGAAAGCCTGATCAATGCATTTGTCTTATTTTAGCTGTTTTTGAAAAATCCTAATAATACATATGTGAGAGTTGGTATAAGCTCAGCTTCATTGCCCCCAATCAGTGCTAGACGTGTTTGCTTTAGGAAAACTCAACTTTTATTGTTGCTTACGTAAACCAAAAATATCTTCCGTTAAAAGACTAATAAAGAAACAAATGAAAAATTTACGTTTCTTCTTTCTGCCCAGATAATCCGAAGCAGTTTTTATGGGAACAGTTGAAACAGCTTCGGGACGCACAAAATTGCACTCAGGAGCCCCCTTCATTGTTCACGCGGGAGAATGCAGAATCGATTTTCAATATGTTAGATCCGTGTGAGAAAAATGTGATCTCATTTGATCGTTACTGTCATGCGTTGGAAACACTCGGCATAACGAAATACGACAAAAATCCTGATGGGCTAGAAGGCGATTCTATCAGCAAAGAGACTTACCTCACAGAAGCGCAAGTGATATATTTGTCTTATTGTTCTACTATACAGCTCTCAGGGTTTGCTAAAGCTGGCTAAAACCTACCGCGAGGCTTGAAAACGATCGGTCCGTCAGGAGTAATGTGGAAGCAACTTCAACCCGTGCTCCGTTCACCAGAGACTGTCCAAGATACTAAAAATATACCATTGTACCTTTCAACGTATAAACTTTCTTTTGTCTCCACTGAATCAACCACGCTTGCGAGGAAGCCCTCTGTCTGATGGTCTGTTTCTTCTAACAAGAAGAAAAACATGCAAGGATTCGTACTAAAGTCTATGTTTATTATTCAAAGTAACCACTCTCTGATTGACATTTTAGACAGCTAAGTAACAACAAGCTGGCAAGCCCACTGGCGTTCACGACAAATTCACTGTCTTTTCGCTGACGCGATCGATGATATATCAAGACTGCCGATAATATCGACCACCTTAGCAGCAAAATTGCCGCCATTCAACCGTAGCATACAAGACATTTAAGGATTGAATTTTAAAGAATTAAATACATCCAAAGTTATCCGCTCTAATGAACCCTAACAAAAAGGAAACTCGATTTCACTGCTTTCCAACTTTGGTTTGGACTCAACAGAGTAGCCAGTTCCAAAGAGGAGGGCTTTTCAAACAGAGCGACGTATATAAAATTTAGCGGCTTCTTCAAACACCGACACTTAACTCCAGGTGAGTCCGTTCAAAAAGAGTTGATGTGCAATGCTATGACACTGTAAAGTTAGCAGTGTAATCATGATAGACCTGTGGCTGGTACCTTTTCAAAGAGATGACTTTCATACCAGAACCTAAAGACCTGCCTAAAAACACAGCTTAGGGAAAATCCTTGAATACAAGTCAGTAGTACATCTATGTGAACTTCTTGTGTAAATCCAAGCAAGAATTTGGTCCTGGTTGAATAAGAGGTTAAAATCCAGTCTAAAACACTAAAATGGGGAAACGGATATTGTTTAAACGTCAGCAGTCCTAGATCTTTTCAGCATATATCTTACACGTTTAGTTTATATTCACATTAAAACTGACGCAGTAGCATAAATAGAATTTCAGGCTAATCAATGATACTTTTTGTCTGGCAGGTGTTTGAGCCACTCCGTCTTATCGGTATCACCAAAGTGCCATCAAACCTGAGTCAACCATGAGGATCATTGGCGTACAGTTAAGTAATGGTAACCGGTGAATCCGTCGTTGCAGTGCATTATCTGTGAAAAACTGACTATATGCGATGACCTCTTTTAACTCAGAAACTATTGCAACCATATTACTGACAAGTAATTGCCTCTACTATTAATTACGACCACCATATGTTAGTGTAGATATCTCACAGTGGGTGGTAAACAAGCCAAAACCTCTCCAATAGCAACCCAAATGACAACAAACTCATTCAACAAAGGACTTTTGACAGTCTTTGATATCACTCATACCGCTGAACGTACTCAACTTTGCGGCGCACAATGTGCGGATAATCATGGGGAAATTTGTTTGGTGATTTTAGGTAATGCACTCATACCAGATTGGAAAACATATTTCCTACGAAAGAAATGTCGTCAGCGCATCCTTTCTGGAGATAAGTATATGAAGCGTTCACTCTAGTGTAATTTGACCCTCCCTTAAATTCACTTTTACGGTGGAAAAAATAAAGGATCACTTTTTCACCCGACAGACTGACGAAGTTATGCACGGAGTTTTATCCACTACAATCTCGACTTGATTGACCAATGTATGCCAACTGCTAGCTTCATTACCATTCAAATGAAACAAGAATCTTAAGCAGATGAATGTTAGGAAAATCCTCGGGGTCAAATCAAATCAGATGACATTTTCGGCAAACTGAACTGACCTTTTAGCTCATAAAATCGCATAATATTACATAAAACTGCATACAAACGGAAGAACGTTTCCTGCATTCATTAAGCAGTGAGCTTTCGGTACGGGGTGGTATATCGTGAGGTTGATTAACATTGAACTACTTGGGAGGTAATAAAATACAAACAAATTAAGAAGTGTTTCTGATATGGAATGATGTGTTTTTATAGTTGCTGTTGGAGAATTACAAGGCGCAAGCATGCCGTGGCTAGCAACTTGAAAGCTGGATTGCAGGGTGTCAAGAAGACGGAATTCGAAACAAGATAATTAGATCATTGGCCAGCATGAATTCCATCGAAATAACCTTTCAGAATTACCTGTGCCAAATACATGATTCAGTGACAAGAGAATAATGTGATAAACTTTCTTAACAGGTTACGGGAATGAAAACAAGGACACAGTACATCCCGTGGGGGATAAATATAAATAACGGATACACCCGCAGTGCCCGAGGATACCGTAACATTGGTCTACGTGCACTAACAGCCGGAGAACGAACTTTGAAAACTGGCTGGACATTGCAGGTCGATTGATAGTGTCACGCAAAGATACTGAAACGAACAAAAAGGAAACAAAGAAAAGTGAGATGTTACTTAAGACGTTATTATAACGCCATCCAATAGTGAGTGAGGAGAGAACATCTTGAAGTGTTTGTAAAGTGGCCGCAAATGACTAGTTATTTGATCAGGTGACATTCATTCAGCATGATTTTAGCCATAAATGTGCCGTGGATTTGTGATGCTCCAGATGGGTGAATCAACGATATGAATGTTACCATAAATAGAGCAAAATTGAGTTTTGGAAGCAGCGTAATTCAAGTCGCCGGCAGATGGATTAGCTGTAGAAATTGGTGCTTTGTTGAATCGGCGTGACAAGACCCTGAAGCCAAGCTGCCAAAACTTTGTTGCTGTCCCATTGGAACACAATTAAAATTTGCTAAGAGTCGGCAAGCAAAATAACTACCGAGCGTACTATTCATCGAACTTGTCGTTTACAAGAAGCTTTTGCAAGTCAACATCTGAATTTCTACATGCTATTGAGGACAAGATACACTAAAGAGTGGAAAATCGACGAACAATTTCATGCTTATGGGAAATCACCGAATGTAACATATTTTGGTTATTAGTTGGTAGCTAAAAAATTATATTAATCAGAAATGAGTATACTCATTAGGACCATTGCATTATCAGTCCTTCAGATGTGTTGTTCACATCATGGAAGCCGATGTCCGTTAGGTAGTGAAAACAAATGCGAATATCGTGAACTACACACATTTGCAAACTAATTTGGCTTATCGAGGGACTCACCTGGAACCCAGCTGAATCACTGGTTTGTTTGTTTCCATTACAATTTACCTGACCCCCGAAGCGATGACCACTATGGTGCTCTATTTCTGAATGCAAAGGCTAAATTTGCTGCAGGTCAGAAGGAATGGACGATTCTAGCAAGAAACAACCTGTGTGAACAAAGACGGAATGTTGAACAGACGTGTGAGGTCACAAACAAAGACAATATGGTTTGGCTCTCAAATGAATATGTATATTCCAAAGGAGTGAATATCAGAACTCGTCCACTATGGTGTCGACAATGACTAGGGGTGCAATATGGTGCCTGCGCTCTTTCTGCCGTTTCAATGAGCTAAGCGAAATATCCGGAGATGGCAAACACCGTGTCACGGTCAGTGAGGAGATCCACTTCCAACGTCAGAGCCTTTTGTAACCAACTTTAATCTGATTCCTACATGCTCTAAATAGATTATTAAAGATACTTTTGCTCTGACTGATAGCGCAATACCTAATATGATTGTGCGACACCACACGAAAGTGACTTAAAACACGAGGAAAGAATCACCTTAAGAAATCTCTATGGAATGAATGATTTCCCAGTTACAAAGAGAATGGTTGTAGAACGGATAACGAAGCTCTAGAGCGACTGGTCTAACTTTCACGTTGTAAGTAGTATGCTTTCTGGACGGTTGGCAAAAGCTGCTGGCTTTTCACATTCTAAGGACTGACACTTCAGTAATAGTGTAGAAAGCTTCAAGTAAGTGTTATACAAACTAACACCCACGGCCACTTCATAGCCACGTGCCTCATGCAAGAAAATTAGCTTACATTCGAAGTAGTTTTCAATGAGATGTAAATAACACTAAGAGAATACCTTGCTTAGCAAATATAAATATGGTCGTTGGTTTGTTCGCTGAGCTGAGCTGGGCACTAATAAATGCGTGATCATCCTGTTCTATAAGTTGCAATACTTTTAAGATTTTTTGTTTCAGCTATAGGAATGGAGTCTGTACTTTTGTTATCCATCTATGTTACACGCAGGTACAGGTGGTCGGTAACTGTTTTTTTCTGAATTTGAATAGCTTACACATGTGGCTCTGCTGAGATGTCATGCATACTGCTCACTGCCCAAGTAAAGCACAGCCAAGAATCCCCTTAGTGAATTAGGACACGTGGATGCATAGATGACCGAGCGCTTTTAGACCACGATCGGACCACCGAACCAAAGGTAGTCAAAATTACGATTTTTTCAGCAGAGTTCAGTATTTATATGTGTCAAATTTTAGTGTACCAATCGAACCACATCCTCCGTGCAATCAAAGTATGTTCTTGCGGACATGCAACAGGATTTTAGGCCAAATTTTCGCCTTCAAAAACAACTAAGAATTCCCAAGGCGGCAACAAACAATTGATTTTCAGCCTTCAGGACGTGCACGAGTTCAACAGTCTACGAACAGCGAAATTGTTCTCACCAACCAGTCCCTTGAAAATGTCCGTATTACCTAATCATCGGTAGAGATTTGATGACAGCGCACTGGTTTTTATCAAAAAGACGAACTAGCGAGTTTGTGCCCTGTCCAGACACATGATTAGGTTGGTACTCATTAACTGCACCCTTACTCTAAAGGTTATTCGGATACAGTGCTTCACACAGACAAGTTTCCGACCGCGCACAATCATGATCAGAAGTATAACGGGGTGAAATTCGGCAAAATGTGCGTTAGGACCTAATTAAACCATCAATTTACTTTGGAGCACGCTTACCATGAGCACCATGGATCACTGCTTCCTATCAAGCGGGCTCAGAAACAAGCCTTTGTTACACTGAGCGGTTCGGCAGAAACCAAAAGGTTCAACATCTGTCGGGGTTTCAAGTGTCGTTCGTCAGGAAATCTCCGCTATGTGTTCCACAGGGTCTCAATACGGACTTTCCACTCGAGTAGCAGGATCAAAGTCGCTCGATATTTTTTACAGTTAGCTTGAGAAAACTCAACTTTGGGACAGTTCTACTTTCTTACTGTATTAACTGATGCCATTTTAAGAAATCCAAATCTTGCAACAAATTTCACACATGTTATATGGTACGTACGTAACAAATCGACCAATCATGAATCACCTTAGATAGGTGCCTGTCAGGCTAACCTTTTCCTGCATAGCAGTGACATGCGTGAATCCGAATCTAACTGCAGTCACGACGAAAAAACGGTAATCCGTTACCGAGGTGTGAGACGCATTGCGGTGTTTCAGAAATAGCAATGACGTGTAGGATGAGCATACCAGTAATCAGCAATCAATGCCGCTGAGATATCAAATCCTTTGGAGGGCGAACGAGGTAGCAGCCGTCGAGCCAGTCGTTGCTGACTGATATTCTCACCTTGAAAACGTAACTTTCTAGTTTAGGTGGCACCATAATTAAAACGGTTGTTGGTTACATTCAGATTTGACGTGCATTCTGGATCCCACTAAATAGCCTTTTCACGGTGGTAGAAAACCACTGAATCTCGATATTTTTTAAGAATAGCAACACTCGCATGAGTTCTATAAACGCTGGGTTCTGCAGACCTCTTAGTTTGGAAGGTAAAACCCGGATGAAGGATGTACTGGCTCCTCGGGGCCCACTGATTTTCTCACAATACTCAAGAGGCCGTTTATTATGAAGTCATACTGTACGACTTAAATGGTTTCTTACAGACACGAAAACATAAAACTTGTTGCCCTTACTGAGTCATAGGTTGACGTCATCTAGTTTCGACAAAGTGCAACTAATAACAGTTCTGAACCTGAGGCGTGTGCATCCATTGAGTACAGAGCGTGTTAGCAATGTGCGTAAGTACATAATAGCTCTGACATCTCCTTTTGGTGTTGATCAGGCGGCTGTTGCCAATTTTTGCAGTTAAATTGTCCAAGTCTCATCAAGATGTTGATTGAACCATCTTTATGTAAATCTCTTCCATCGATCGAATGGAATGGCGCGCCTAGACAAACACAGTCCTTGTTTTACCGTCAGATTAGGGTAACCACTCTAAAGGCATTGAAAAGTTCACCAGCGTGCTCCAATGGCCCAGACCTTTAAAGGTCTCAGTGTTGTGTAAATAAAATGTAATCCAACTGCCAGTTGGAAGGTACCGTTGCATGAAAGAGGATCGAAATCACTACTTGCATTAGATGCCCTGCAGAGATGGAGTTGCTTTCATTTCGTATCGGACGCAAACTGTAGATCTCTTAAGTAAAACAGATTGTCGCTTACTGCAGAGAAAGTAAGTGTTCTCGATGAAGGTAGAGGATAGGCCATTTCCAGTGCATGTTATCCTTCAAGTCATTGATGATCAAAGTATCAGCCAATAATTTGACTCAAGTAAATGTAAATTCGTTCAGCTGTAACACCTTCCCAATACGTAGCTGCTATGTCACCCGAAGGAAGCACGAGAGCTGGGATACTCCGCGGTTGCCCAAGCCTGAACAGGGGAAGTCGAGAGGCAGAGGTCGGTTTCGAACCACGGACATTCTGGTCAGTAAATTCGCGCTCTCATCACTTGAGCCATCTCGGCCTCTGAATCAGGTAAAGTTTCAACCTAACTACTGCCATGTCACTCAGATGAATATGTAGGAAACATTTTATGCCAAGGCACCAAATGGTGAAGGTCAGAAAGTGAATGAACAACTGCAAGCGTTTCTCTCTGCAAGATTGTCAAAATTCTATCAGGTCAAGATTAGTGCAAATCTACGAAAGCCACTAATTCCCATTATACTACTCATCAGCTATGTGAATTTCGTTCCATGAGGTGTAAACAAGGGAGGAAATTAAAAACCACTGCTCTGTAACGGAAGCTAATAAGGTTCACGATATTTAGCACCAGACATGGGTTCCGAATTTCGTTTTTGTTGGGAATAAACCCAAGTGATTTAAGGGACCCGTGGCTTTTCAACGATTGCCGTCTGGTTCTGATGAGAATAGATAAGGAAAAGGTCGTGTTCCCCACCTACCGTAACTGTTACGTTCTATTAACAGTTCTTAAAATGTTTCAACTTGTTTTAGCCATCTAACGGGATCACATATATATTCTTCCGAAGCTCGAAACTAATTTCGAAAACAAATAGATGTATAACCCTTTGTTTCTCATCTTATTTGTTCGAATGATTCTGTGCGGTATCGTTTTTGCAAAATTTTTTGACGCGTAGGTTGGCTTTAGAAACTATACTTGTGCGCTCCTGATAAGTTTTTAACTCATCACTGCTTGACTTGCATATGCCAATAATCGAGAAAATTGAATTTTGCGAGAAACTAAAGTTAACACTTGAACAAAATTGGTGGATCACGTGACGTGAATGTCTACTTGATTGGTCGATTCCGGAAGGGGTGTACGAAAAGTTCATTCGCCACACATCCTCTCAGATTTGTGTGATTGGAAGCCTCTCGCCCCCCATAATGCGTCGCCAAACATCAGCCATTGCTCGTCGGAACAGGACCAAACGGTATAAATAAACCGCCAAACTTCAAATTAGAACCTAATGCAAATGCACTTTACAGAACTTCACTGTTGTGGAGCGTGCCCAAACTTAGAAAAAAGCAGCCATCATGCTTTTGTCGAACAAAACAGTGAAAATTTCGGTAGCCGATGACAAACCCAGCCCGATTCACGTGGATGGGCAGAAAGTGCAGCCGGTGTTTTTTCCGCTCCGTTACCCAACTACTCAAGCAGCTATTTATGCTCAAGCAAGATGAGATATTTTCTTAATGAAGCAACTCAAACGATTCAGGATTGCTGGTAAGACTAAGTGGAGGCAAGCCTGTTTTTTAGTGAGTTAATGGTGATTAGAATCTGTTGTATGGAGTTGATTTCAAGTAAGATGACAGACCGGTAATTCCTCTAACCAGGATGTTTTGTGACACACGAAAATATCATTCAGTTACCAAACCGGCGTCCATATCCTATATTCTGTGAGACTCACTTATTCACGGTGAAACACCAACAGATATGACACTTGAAACGTCGAAGTTCAGAAGGACGTATAGTAAGTGGACACGAAGAGCTGGTAATGAAAACCCTACAAACCTATCATGCTAAACAACCCAAAAGAAAATCACTCCACGACGGACCCTTCAATTAGGTTGGAACGCATGCTTCAATAGAAACTACGCGCTGCCGAACTGCCGAGTATCATCCGAACACAACTATGCGAAATGGAACAAAAGCAGTAAAGTTAAGCAACACTTCAGCGTAAACAATGATGGTGCACCTAGAACAAGGGGAAAAGTTCACGGTACTTTCCAAGATATGTGGAATACAGTTTAAGGGCCACTGCCACAACTCGATGAGGTGGTGAATTATTTCTAGGAATGCGCCGCGAATCCCCTTTTCGGCTGTCTTGTACGAACAACGTTTTATGTCTACTTTCCTCGATCATGAACATAAATTGTAGGCAGTTGGATGATTCTTCAATGAAATGGAGCCAGCACAGTTCATATTAGAGACAAACCACTAGCAATAGGTTGAGTACAGAAAAAGCCGAGTGTGATTCACAGATTGACCATGTTTACAATCGGTGGAAGTGCTAAAACGACAGACGCTACTCAGGACCTGACGGGATACAATAATAATACCCATGTTATCAGCTCACACATGTTTCTTTGGTAGAGTCCGCAGTTTCTGAATTATCTTCGGGCATTCCCAGCAGTAGAACTACCACAGAGTTTAGTCCTTTTACATCGTATCCATTCAGCACACCTGCCTAACTGATGTTATGTCTAATTTTCTTTTATACAAAATGGCAACAGCGTACTCCGTTTAATCAGGAGTAGCAGCTAAGAAACATCGTGGGAAATGAGCATTCTGTATGAATTATCTTTGCTTGTTTAAGAACAAAAGCTGATTGTTCATTTCATTTCAGTACGGTTTGCAAAGATATCCGTTCAGAGAATCCGAACCGTATACCGATTTTCTTACCAGGGACTGGTTCTCAAAACATGCCCACTGTCTACGTGGCCATCTGAACCTGAATGACTAGCTTAAACAAGGGAGCAGTTAGGCGCCCGTCACTGCTCGTATTTCGGTTGTAACTATAATGAGCGTCATGGGAACACGATGATATGATACAACTTCCCTGGTTTATCCAGTGCCGCTTTGCCCAGCCGTTGAGCTCGCGGCTGGTTGAGGTAGTCCGTGGATCTAAGTGAGTGCTAAGGGTCACCTGATTTCCACAATGCTAACTGATTGTAATTTTCCACAATTGTTCATAAAGTGATATGATTTCTGTAAACCACTACCAAGGCCTAGTGCTGGAGTGCAACACTCAATTAAAAAATGACTATCAAGATAAAAAGAATACGCAATGACTTTGTAGATTCCATCCTTTATACGTGGACTTCTACCAAAAAAGTCTTGTCCTTTAAAGAAAATGAAATGTTTCAGAGGGTTTTGGATTTATTGCTGGGCAACTTTTCGCTTTTGACACAAAAGCTTCGTCAGGCCAAGTGAGTAAATAAGTAGGTTGATTGGGTTTTAAGGCAGTCAGGGAACCAATCCGTGAGATTCCTTATGACTAGTGACGTGATCAGTGCTGGGTGTTCAGTCTGATGTCCCTGTTTGTTGATTAGTGCGATGACTAAGCTTTACGATAGATCGGTTAGGGGGGGGGTTCGTCTTTATGATGAACCCGGATTTTTTCGTCCCTGCTTCTTCAGTCTAGGACACCTTAATGGAAAATTCCTCTTGGGGTCGTTCACAGATTTCGTTCACCTGTGTTCGTCCAAGGGTGCTGGGACAATTAGTTTGGGGATGGGGGTGGGCTGGTTAATTGGATCTAACGCTACTTGGATTTTGTACTTTTAGACCCAGGCGATTTCGCTGATAACTGCACACCGCCTCGTGTCATCTCGGCTGATCTAAGACCGCTCTCCACACGTTTGCAAGTTCTACCCCCTCTATTCTATTCACACTGGGATGCTTGGCGATTTCCACCGCCTCGGCCACCAGTCGCTGTGGTGTGAATCTTAAACCCCGTCTCAGGATGTCCACATTTTCTAAATCTATCTTATGCCCAGTGTCTAGAGCATGCCCTGCCATTGCTGAATCTTTGACTAACGCTTGGTATTCCTCTGCGTTTCTCGGTGGTTTGTTAATGGAACGCTTATGCTCACCGATTCTGGTGTGCAATTCCCTGGCTGTCTGACCTATATAAACCTTCGTACAGTCGTTACATTTTATTTTGTATACACAGTTCCTAGTCCTATCAACCGGAAGGCGATCCTTCAAATGCACCAACACCGAGCGTAAAGTTTTCCCCTTCTGGAAAGCTACTCTAATGTTAGCCGTATTCAGTACCCTTCTAATGACTTCAGATGTCCCTGTTTTGTATGGAATGACCGCTGTTCCGATCCACTCCTTGTTGGGCCTTGGTGTTGGCACCAATACCCGTCTTAGTTGTCGCTTAATTAAACCCACTGGGTATCCGCCATCTTGAAGTCGCTTTTTTACCTCGAGCTGTGCTGCTCTTCGGTCGACCTCCTCTGTACACAGTGCTCTCACTCTCCTAAACATCGCTGAGGCTATGCTAGCATATACTGCTTTTGGATGTGCAGAGGAGTAGTCTAAGACCGCACCACTATCTGTTGATTTCCGGTATACAGTGGTTTTTAATTTCCCACCACTCTTGTGTGTCATGCAGTCAAGGAAAGCTAGTGTACCCGATGTGGACTCTAGCTCCATGCTAAACTTAATGTGAGGGTCCAATGTGTTCAGATGTTGAAAGAATTCGTTCACCTTATCCCGCTTTATTACAACGAACGTGTCATCTACGTAACGCCAGAACACCCTTGGTGGACACTCGAATCCGTTTAAAGCTTTCTGTTCGAAGTCTTCCATGTACATGTTGGCCAAAATCGGGGATATTGGTGATCCCATCGCTAAACCTTGTTCTTGAGAGTATATAATTGAGTCAAAAACAAATTGACTGAGGTTTAGGCATACCTTTATGCCTTCAACTATCTCGTCTACGGAGAGTTGCGTTCGTTCTTGCAGCGTTGTGTCTGCCAGTAAAAGTCTTCTCGCTACTTCCACAGCGTCCGCTTTAGGGACGTTGGTATACATCGAATTGACGTCAAAACTAGCCAGGACTTCGTCTGGCTCTATCTGAAACCCAGCTACTTTTTTGGCAAAGTCATACGAATCTTGGATGTGTGTCGGTGACTTGCCGGCAAGTGGTTTAAGGATACCTGCTAGATATCTGGCCAGCTCATGTGGTGGTGAACCTATGCCATCCACTATTGGTCTTATGGGGACACCTTCCTTGTGAATCTTCGGTAACCCGTACAGTCGTGGTTGGATTGCACTTTTTGGGTACAATCGATACCACTTGCCTTGCCCCAGATGGTTTATCACAGATCTTAGATACCTCCCAACTTCAACTTTACTCTTACTCATAATTGACGTGATCTTTCCGTTACTAATTTGTCAGTAGGGACCATCAGCTATGTGTTGTCTAACTTTATGAAGATAGTCACTCTTATTCATGACGACCGTGGCCTTACCTTTATCTGCCTTTGTAATTACTATGCTGTCT